CATAGTCTGTCATAGAGAGTGATGCATCCATCCAAGCTGCCACCCGTGCAGCCTCGTCTCGCCTTACCACATACTATTACATTGCTGTCTATGGGGGCGCATGATGTAATATACATGTTACTTCCTCCTTCAATGACTTTCTGTGTGTGTTCAGTGTTAATATTTGTAACATACGTGGCATTGTTCCTTCCGTCCCGCACACATATCTCATCATCACTGATAAAACCACACACCCAAGAGTCATTAACAATCGATGGAATGTGAATTGACTTGACAAGCTCCCATTTACCGATATAGCCATCGATTCTCCCGTAGTGTTCCCCGCCTACTTCACCCTCGACAAACTTCACTTTCTGAACTTCACGCTTCATTCGGTCAAGACAATCGCTAACATCTTGTTGAACATTCAAATTTAAATTGTCATCAAGGGATGCAAGTACTTCAGGAGTTTCATTCACTAATGTTTTGTCATCTTCTTTGATTCGTTTGATCTTGGCGTCAACATTATCCATAGTGCTGATTGCATGCTGATTCTTACTTGTGAGATCTTTTATCTTTTTGGACACCACCTCACTGATTGCCTTTGTTTCTAAAAAGACCTTTGCTTGGCCTTCTTTGATCATAAGTTGTTGGTGTTCTGCTTCTTCGTTACATGATCTGATCTGCTTTTCTCTCGTCTTGTTGATAATTCGAATTTCCTCATCCGCCTCCTCGTTTATCGAACGAATTTTATCCCCTTCCTTGTCTTTCACGATTTTTAATTTGTCTTCGGATGTCACCTTAAGTTCATCGTTGACCGATATAAAATGGTTACTTGAGAAAGTAGCGATGGACTGTATTTTAGAGTCAAGCGTCCTCAGTTTTTTCTTTGTCTTCTCAATTTCATGCCGTTTATCATCCAGTTCTCTCCTCCTCTCCAAGATGACATCCCCGATGTCGTCTAGCTTACATGGTTTCTGGCCGTGATCTTTGGTAGCGCATGGATGACAAATCGGAATTTTGTGTTCTTTGCAGTAAAATTTGATTGGATCACCGTGTATGTCACATGACCATGTCATGTCATGACCTTTTCTTGTGCGTAGCTTGACCTTTTCATCTCTCTCTCCTGGGAACTTGGACGCCATTATGAGGAGCAGATGGTAGCAAGTTACCTACATATATACAAAAAAATAAAATTAGACATAGGGCCTATGACTTCAGGAGAAAATATGGATATTATAGAGAAGCGGATCACAACAAAAAGAGACAACGACATGAACGATGGTAAAAAATAAATTTAAAAAAAGTCGGAGGAGAAAATTTAATAGAATACCAAAAATAGTTTGTGTTATAAATTTCATATTTTCTTCCAATCCGATGGTCATTAAGAACATTTTACCTGATATACTATACAAATATGAAATAATCTAAATAGGAAACTAATATTTTATAAATATCATCTATAGCCAAAATAACAACAATTCAATCATAAAGTTACATATGTTTGACTCACCTAGTTACAAAGTGGTATTTCCAATTGGGGGGGGGGGGGGTGCAATTTTCCGGGGGTTATTGTCCTTGGGGTATAATTGTCCTTGAACCGAATACAAAAGTTGTTCATCTTTTATCCTTAAAATGTTGAACGACTATTTGTGTTATTACACCAACAACTTCCTACCAGGTACCCATTAATATGTCCTGGGTCGAATGTGGCAAATGTAGATTAATGCCTTGCCATAGGACATTAGTGCCTCGTCGGGGATTCAAAAAATGAAAGTGAATGCCAGGCGAATAATAAACGCTGATCATTGCAGTCAAACTGTAAAGCGCGTCTCTGAACTCGTCACAACTAGGCCTAAAGAGAAAACAACTATTTTCTTGTCTAAGTTGCTGAGTTTGTGTCATAATAATGATGACGAATTGTGATTACAATACGATTATTCATGTAAGATCCATACTTACGAGCAGTTTCTATGAATTATTCCGTTGTGATGAGGACCTCTCTACTATCAGCTAACGATGTTGTATTACAGTGTACAGTTTGATTGTATGCAACTGACAAGAGAGGTGCAGTGCGTATTGTGAAATATCGGGTATTTTTCAGTTCCGCAATACCATGGATCGGTGCACAAATTGAACAAAGTTTCAAAAGAAAACGAATCATACAAATGTTTACGTCACTAAGGTCAAAGTGATGTGTTTTTAGGTGTTTTCAGTTCGGTGGTTAGTGTGTTAAACCTAGCTTCAAGCCAACAATAGAACATGAAGTGATATTTATGATGTAAGTTATACGACACTCATGTTAAATCTCTCAATCCATTCTCTTTATATATATAACATAATGATCAAAATACTGAAATACAGGTTTATCGTCATGAACAGTGTTACATCGACAATGTTAATATTAACCTTATCTAAAGAGAGAATATTCAGGAACAGAAGGAATGCATGGCAGTCTGTACAAAAACATACTTTTACGAGTTGTTGGCGGGCAAGAGAACAAACATTTCAAATGGAAAAGCTTGTATCTTAAATACATTAGAATGATACAAAATAAGCCACTGCCTCCCTTCAAGAAACGGGTTATTATGGTCAATGAGAAATATAAACTTTTCAGTACTTAGAGTCGAAACAATGGAACCATTGAAATTCCGAACAGAGGTTAGCCCCATCACTCGAATGTTTGAAAGCAGCTTTTTTTATAACTGATTTTCAACTATCCGGAGACATTACTGCGTAAAGAATTAATATATATATTCATGTACAGGTAAACATGATTTCTCTCTTTCTCTATCTCTCTATCCCTCTCAATCTCTCTCTCTCTCTCACTCTCTCTCTTTCTCCCTCTCACACACACACACACACACACACATACACAAACAATCCCATCCTCCTTCTCTTTATCTGCGTTGTTTATATTCTAACTAAAGAGGCAACCCTGCTGAAATAATACTGTAAATAAATGATGAAGAAACTTACATTTGGAAAACGAAGAGAAGGGAACAGGATGGACAGTGTAGATAGTTTAAGAGACAGAGAATAATATTAATTGCGATGTTTTCTTTTCTCTTCTTTCTATCTTTCTTTCCTTCTTCATTTTTTTACATTTTATTTGTTTTTGGTAAGTGCAAATCTTTGAGCAACATGCGAATTCGAAAAAAAAAACAAGTATAGGGTGCCTCGTGACTGCACAAATCTTAGTAAAGAATAAATCTTGATCTCTGTCACAAGCGTATCAAACATAACCACTACCGATACACCATGCCTTTCTAACTATACCCATATCCCCTAACCACTACCGATACACCATGCCTTGCTAACTGTACCCATATCCCCTAACCCCTACGTCATACCTTTACAGCTTACCCGAGTATTACAACATACAGACAGAGTGTAAAATCATGTCATGCTTTATGATTTGGAGGTCAAAGGTAATGATATTCTTTTCATCTACTCGATCTGATAAACTATTCAGACCAGAATTTCCCATTGTTCACTTTTAGTGTATTAAAGCACGCAATGGAAAGATATATATGAACGGGATTCCCGCCTTCACATTTCAAGCGATGTATGCTACCACCCATTTAGAAAATATGAGTGCACAAATAGAAAGGAAGACAAATACAAAATCAGATATGTATCATAACTTTTACGCGGGAACGGCTTTGTCTGTGCCACTGAAACTGTTTACAGAGTAATGCACGTGGAATCAAGTGTAGACGATTTGCTAATGCGAGATTTGAGCGATGTATATTAGATCTCTGCGCTCTTTGATATCTTTTGCTTGAATCATACTAACAGAAACAATCTGATGCATATGAGGAACACATGTATTCCCAACATATAATTTAGGTGCGTACTTAATTTAACTCTACTTCTTTGTTATAACTCTAAACATTAGCCGATTTAAGCTCAACATGTAATAACTACCCTTTGCTGTCATTCTCTCTCTCTCTCTCCCTTTTATTTTCACTGCCTCTCTCTGTCTCTGTCATCCAATCTCCCAACGTCTTAAATCAGTGTCGCTTAATCTAAATCTACTTCTGTTTTACCACTCTACTGTTATTATAGCTCAACATATAATTACTTTTGCCCTCTTTCTCCACCCCCTCTCTCTGTCTCCTCCTCCTCTTTCTCCCTCTCTCTCTCTCTCTCTCTCTATCTATCTTTTTTTCCTCCAAACTCCTCTCTTTCTCTTTCTGTGATCCTCTTTCTCTCCCTCTTTTTCACCGCCTCTCTATGTCTCTGTCACCCCGTCTATCAACATCTCGGTTATGCCATACAACCCTCTTCCTCTAAGTTAAGACATAAATACACTGAAGAGGACAAATATTGAAGAAAACTTACACTATCTTTTAATTTTGACTAGCCGAGCTTATAGCTAATAATCATATATACAATCATTTATTCAATTTGCAAGGATAAAATACGCCGAATATATATTTACATCGATACAAAACTTAACTTAAGTATTTCAATATAACTTTGTTTGTCTGCAATACTCAGATATTATTCCTTGTATATTCGGTCCATACCAACAATCGACATTGGATAACCGATATGTATAACTTAATAAACCGGTATCATGTTAAGTAAATTACACGTCATTAAAATATTTACAGGCACAAGGCTATTTTCTGATATAAAACACACTCAGTAAAATATCTCACATTATAAGAATTTTCAGTGACTATCATGACTAACAGAAAAAGAAGAAAGCAGAAAGAACATGAATAAAAAAAGCCCACGTGAGTGTATTGTATATATACAATGTCATTACGTATGAGAGGAAATATAAATGAGTAAAACGAATCTACTCTCTGATATCAGTAAACCATCCTCCAAACTTATAAACATTCCCAGAGTTAAAATTCCCCTGTTTTTCCTTCTAATTAACTGAGTCATAATAATACAATACAATGTCACAACTAGTTTCACACATCACGCGATATTCATGGAGTCTGTCTCGAACCTAAGAAGTTTTGGAGGTTCGATCCGCTTGCCCCAATTTAACATTTAGAGCAAAAATGTGGATTTACTGTATTTACATATGACATGAATTCGTATCGATCTAAAAATATAGTGTGACATCGACAGGAATTACATATATATTCTTTTAGATTGAGTTGTCATTTCCCAATCAATACTTAATCATAAGCCCATTCATGTGTACATTAGTCCATATGAAGGCTTACAAAATGCAATTTCATTAAAATCTTAGTTAACCGTACATAAAGATTAGTCAGGTTGCATGGGTTTATTTCAGAAATTATGCACAACAGAAATGCTCTCCAAACCGCGTTGTTCAATTATATATACATTTGTGAAATACTGTGATTCCAATTTCCATTATTATATTAAGAAATTAAATATCACGTAATGGTTGAAAGGTGAAATAGTTTATTTTATTCTGGGTATGGTGATAACAGCTCGTAAAAAGTCACTGAAATTTCGAAGTAATAACCATATTGTGTTCAATATGTTTAAACAAGCTTCTTCGGGAAGAAATTTATTTACTTAAACTTCGACTGGGTTATATGAACAATCGGAAAAAAACTAGTATTCCGTTAATGCTAATTACATTATGCGAAATTTCATCTATTTCTTCTGATGACTTATACAATAAATATCTTCTTGTACACAAAAAGCTTGTCTCCGTCACACGCTACAAGATTACCAGAAGGAGTTACGAGGCATAGGCTAATGTACTTGCATCGGTCTGATTTCTTGTATTCCACGATCCTCCTTGCCTGTATGACACCACCACATGACACCTGATCAACTGCGTAGATAGTATGCTCGTCATCCCAGTATGTGATGTAGAGTGTGTCTGTCAGTTTGTGAACTAGACAATATGACACATCCCATTCAGCACAGTGTATGTCAGCCTTCACTTCTCCAGATCGTGAGATGACAGTGAATTTATTATAATCTGTCTTCACAACGATATCACCTGATGACAAGGCTTGTATCGGACCCTTCACCACCTTGCCCTGCATCCTAATAGTGTTTACTATCTTACCATCAGCAGGGTTGATGACGTAGATATTAGACTCATTGTACTGAGCAGCGTAGATCATCCCATCCCCGTCAACATCAACGTGCACAATAGTATAAACATAGCTGTTATTCCTCGGTATGCTGATGTCTCTAATCACATTCCATTGTCTGTCATAGAGAGTGATGCATCCATCCAAGCTGTCACCCGTGCAGCCTCGTCTCGCCTTACCACATACTATTACATTGCTGTCTATGGGGGCGCATGATGTAATATTCATGGTACTTCCTCCTTCAATGTCATTCTGTGTGTGTTCAGTGCTGATATTTGTAACATACGTGGCATTGTTCTTTACGTCCCACACACATATCTCATCATCACTGATCAAACCACGCACCCGTGGTTCATTAACAATCGGCGGAATGTGGATCGACTTGACAAGCTCCCATTTACCGATATAGCCATCAATTCTCCCGTAGTGTTCCCCACCTATTTCGCCCTCGACAAACTTCACTTTCTGAACTTCACGCTGTAATCTGTCAAAACAGTCGCTAACATCTTGAAGAAAGTTCAAATTTAAAATTTCATCTAGGGATGCACGTACTTGAGGAGCTTCATTCACTAATGTTTTGTCATCTTGTTTCATCCGTTTGATCTTGGCGTCAATATTATCCATATTGCTGATTGCATGCTGATTCTTACTTGTGAGATCTTTTATCTTTTTAGCAACCACCTCGCTGATTGCCTTTGTTTCTGATTCAACTTTTGCTTGGCTTTCTTCGATGGTTAGTTGTTGTTGTTCTGCTTCTTCGTGACATAATTTGATCCGTCTTTCCCTCTTTTCGTTAATTATTTGTATTTCTTTATCCGCCTCCTCGTCGATGGAACGAATCGATCGTTTCTCTTTGTCTTTCACAATCTTGATTTTGTCTTCGAATGCCACCTTAAGTTCATCGTTGACTGATTGAAAATGGTTACTTGCAGAGGTTTCAGTGGAATTCAGTTTAGAGTCAAACGCTTTCAGTTGTTTCTTCATCTCCTCTATCTCTTGCTGCTTGTCATCCAGTTTCCTCCTCCGCTCCAAGATGACATCTCCGATATTGTCAAGGTGACATGGTTTCTGGTGATCTTTTGTCGCACATGGATGACAAAGAGGGATATCGTGTTCTTTACAGTAAAATTTGATTGGCTCACCGTGTATGTCACATGACCATGTCATGTTATGACCTTTTCTAGTGTGTAGCTTGACCTTTTCATCTCTCTCTCCTGGGAACTTAGACGCCATGATGAGAAGCAAATGGTAGCGAGTAACCTGCATCGTTAACAATAATACAAATTTAATTAGAGAAATGACTTGAGGAGAAGACACAGAAAAGCGGATCAGGAAACAAAGAGAGACAAAGACATGTACGAGGGGTGGAGAACAAATAAATAGGAAGGCATAAACAAAGAACACAATATCAAGCATATCATATTCTCTTTACTTTATCATTCTGCTTTCTACTCCTGTTGCTCGTGAGTATATTATGACTGATATATTCATATTGAGTAAGGCGATTAAGAATTAATTTCATTTTATTTCGCTTATTTCCATTTCCAACAAAATTAAATGAAATATATGAAATTGCATTGTACATAGTAAAACAAAAACACTTTAAAATGTATTTGTAATTGCAATTGGTCCCCAGTGTACAGCAGGCATATAAAACAAGTTAGCCGTGGAGTGGACTGCTAAACAGATAGGCTTGTACATTGCAGCTCCCTATAACTTATATGTGCAAAAATAGTATATCAATAATAAGGGAACGCACGAATACATAAACCGGATAGACAGAACATAAAATGAGTGAAAGGGACAGGAAAGAAGGAAGATAAGAAACGAGAGAGGGTAGGGCTCTTGCCCATAAACGCAAACAACAAAGTACGGACCGAACAGAATACGGATGGCAGTACAACATGAATGCAAATATAATAGAGTATACTATTGAGTGAAATAAATTGAATGAGGGAGAGCTGACGCTTGATAATTACGTAGAAGAGATTTTTTAAATTTAAATTGAATAGTCCAAAGCTTCGGGCCTGCGTAAGTAAATACGGATTTAGCGAGTATAGTTCTAGTTATTGGCAGATGGAATTTGCCAGATTTGCGTGTGGGGTAAATGTGTATAGTTTTATTTTTGATGAATATTAAATTTAAGATTGGGGGTAGCGTATTGTTATTTAACTTGTACATAAACTGACCGAAGTTTTAACGATACAAATCATTTATCTTCAAGATATTATAATCAATGAAAAAAAAACATCAGTATTGGATCTCGAGGAAGTGTTACAGATAAAACCCATAACTTTCTTTTGTAGAATAAAACGTGCATTATGGGATCATTACATTCATATTGTAGCGCGTTCTAAACTCATCAATGAAATCAACCAATAGAGAAGACAACTAGATTAATTGGCTAATGGTCTATGCCTATTTATGTATTTTAGAGGAATTGTGTTCTAAATGTGTGGCTAACACTCATAAATCGGAGGGGGCATCATTAAAATCGACCCTTTTGACGAATAATAGTATTTGGTCAATAATATTTTATGGGAATCTTAAACTACAATGAGTTGTGTGTCATATGAAACATAAATATATTTACATTTTGATACCAGTTTCAATCGATTTGGGATTAATTGACAAAACAATATTTAGAGAAAAAAACCAAACCAACGTGCTTGTTACTTATCAATTACTACCAATTCCGTTTAAATTGATATCAAAATGTAGATAATCTGAATATCCTTTTATTGACCAAATTCTAATACTCGTCTAAAGGGCCGCTTTTTAGGACGCCCCTACGATTTACGGGTGTTCTTAACAAATGAAAAGAAAAATACCTCTAAAATACTGTGTGTATCTATGAATGTGATATTTAACATTTATTCAGAAGCAGAACGAATGCATGACAGTCTGTAACAAAATAAATACTTCGACCTATTTAAGGGCAAAAGAACAAAGATAGTTTGAATGGAAAAGCTCGTAACTTAAATCCAATAAATTATATTAAATCAAAAAGGAAAATAGTTATTGATATGTTATGAGCTAGACAGTTTTGTGTGTACTTTGCATTTTTATTTTTGGTGTAGTAAATTAATGGAATTAATTTGAAAAATAAGAGAATTGGTCAGGGGGCAGAAGGGCCTCGGGGGCTCAGGGCGTGACGCGTAGAGAGCTTAAGAGATAGAGAATCAGAGCGACATTGTCCTTCCTTCTTTCTCTTTCTTATCCGTGCAAAATTTGAATTCGAAAAACAAGTATAGTTTGAAGTGTGAATGCGAATACTAATAAAGACTTTAAACTATAACTTCTTTTCTGCCATTATACATTCCCGTATATCGTATCAAATTACCTAACCACTGCCAATACACCAAATTTCTTAAAGCCAGTACCACAACATATCCCCTAACCACTATCCGAGTATTACAACATGTTTACTGACAGAGTGTAAAAGCATGTCATGCTTTATGATATGGAGGTCAAAGGTGATGAAATTATGTCCATCTACTCAATCTGATAATCTATTCAGACCAGAATTTGTAATTGTTCGCTTTCAGCGTTGACGGACGATGGAATGTCACGTATAAACGGGATTCCCACCTCCACATTCAAGCGATGTTATTATTTTGGACATTATGACTGCATAGATAGAAAAGGAGACAAACACAAATCTGATATGCTTTCCTAACTACTCCATGAGAACATCTTTGCTGTGCCTCTGAAACTGTTTACAGAGCAATATACATGAAACCAAGTGCAGGTTATTTGGTAATGTGAAGATTGAATTATGTGATATATTAGATCTCAGCGCTGTACATGGCGACCTAGAAAAAACGAAACCGAGAATTATCGATGTTTTTTCATAACTTAATCACAATTACACAAATCTGAGATCCTCCTCTTTCATACGATGCATATTTCACGCATGAGTGAATAAAAGCTCGTTTTCTTTTATGACACCTCAATCAGGAAAAATGAGCCAGGAATAGCAAATTTTTGTTTGTTTAAAGTGATGCTTGCATTTCCACAATTTGTTTAAACGAATTCGTTTTCACTGGCTGCCCGCCGTAGCAACAAATGGAATTGACAAAAGACTTAACTCCGTTTCGTTGACGATTAGACATAGACGAAAGACTTCATAGAATGCAACGTACGCGATCATACGTTTTTTTTTAGTTTTTTTTTAGGGGGGGGGGGTATGTGTTTAATTATCACACAGTGGATGAAATTCCCGGAAGATGGAAACAAATTAAGACAATCTATATTTTAATAAAATATTATCGAACATCATCTTGTTTGAAAGCGTCCTTCTGTATGTATTCAGAAAAGTCACATGTCAAGAAATATCCACAAATGTTGCACGACGCCATTATTCAACATAAGTTGACTTTTCTCTATTGGAATGCATTATTACACATTTAAAACGATCGCAAATACCCCCAAGAGTGACAAAGCCATGGGCGAGGCATGGAGGAGAAATAAATAGGAAAACAGAAACACAAACTTAGATAGAATATCAAGCATTCCTTCGTAGCTATTCCTTTATTGTTTCTTCTGACATTCTCATTGCTCGTCAGTTCGTTACGATGCATACAGTAACGGTTAAATAAAATGAAATACATGCCAGGCGAATAATAAACGCTGATCATAGCAGTCAAACTTTGGCGCGTCACTGAAGTCGTCACCTATAGACATATAAAGAAGGCAACTATTACTTATCTAACTACTTAATTTTGTGTCATAATGATTACAAGTATCATAATTCATGTATGATCAGTACTTACGAGTAGATATCAGGATTATCCCGTTGTGATGAGGACCTTTCTATAGCAGCTTGCGACGTAGTAATTTAGATACTGTAAACACTTTGTTTGTATAATTTACAAGAGAGATACAGTGCGTATTTTGAAATAATCGAGTATTTTTCAGCTCCGCAATACAATGCATCGGTGCACAAAATAAACAATGTTTCTAAAGAGAAGGAAATAAATGAATGATCACGTCACTGGTTCAAAGGTACAGTACGGTTGTTAGTGTTTTAAACCTAGCTTCAAGCAAACAATAGATTATGAAGTGATATTCATTAAAACTGAAAGACTCCCAATTTCTAATTTCTCAGCCATACTGTTTTTATACATCATTGTGATCAAAAAAGTAAAATACAGGTTTGTCCTAAATTGTTACATCGCCAATGTATATACTTTAATATATTTATTAACGTGATCTAACAAAATAAAAACATTAATGAGCAGAAGGAATGCATGGCAGTTTGTACGAAATATATATGTATTCAAACCGTTAGTGGGCAAGAGAACATTGTATTGCAAGAGAGCTTGTATTTTAAATCCATGTTATGAGCATGTTTGTGTGTGTGTATCTGATGTTTTTTGTTCTTTTGTTGGGGGTGTGGGGGGGGGGGGGCGGTAATAAAGGGATAGAATAAAGACAAGATATGTTGAAATAAAGGGAATAGGGACAGGACGGCCAGCGTCATGAGTTTAAAAGATAGGAAATCAGAGCGACAATTTGTATTTGTTTCCGTGCAAAATTTGAAGTAACTTGCGAATTCGAAAAAGATAAAAAGAATATCACCACTTTTAAACTCCATATCCTAAAGCATGACATGATTTGACACTCTGTCAGGATGTTGTAATACTTGGGTAAGCTATGAAGGTATGACGTAGTGCTTAGGGAATGTATTAAGACCACATATTTCCGTTGTTTACTTTCAGTGTAGGCGTGCAATGGAATGTCAAATGGACGGATTCCCAACCTTCTCATTCAAATGATGCATTCATGCCTATCACATATTTAAACAATATGAATGCAAACATAGAAAGATATACAAATACACATCTGATATATGTATCGTGATTACTACTCGGGATTTGTTTCTTCTCTGAGCCTCTGAAACTGTTTACAGAGTAATGAACGTGAAATCAAGTGCAGGCGATTTGATAGTGTGAAGAGTTGTGTGATGTATTAGTTCCATGTGCTCTTCAAAGATAAACTTGAGTTCTGGTAAAAAAAAAAGAAAAAAAAAAAGAAGATGAATTCTCACAGAATCAAACGAAACTTACACTAAATGTTCAAGATAACAAATAAATGTCATGTGCTAAACAATTTTGAAGAAAATGTATATTAGCTATTATAATGAGCATAGAAAGATAAGGAAATCAAGGTAAGCTAGCCCCGACACCATTTGTGTAGTCCCATATATATATACATCTTTCTGTGTACAGTGCTTGTTACTTTACCAAGACTGGGCCAAATCTATTATGATTTTGAAGACTCCAGAACTTTGCAGTTTACACCAATATTTACATGCTACATGATCAACTTTGACTGATCCATTCGACACCTGTTATCACAATGCAATCGCATTACCAGAACTCACCTTTATTTTTAATAACTTTGTATTTACATTTTACGGAAAAAAAACGTTCTGATGCATACAAGGAATACGTATATTCCGAATATTCAAGGTGTGTAAATATTTTACACTGTCTGATGTATGTTAAAGGTTAAATTTTACCTTTATCTCTCATTATCACCCCTGTTTTTTCGTTTGCTAACTCATCCAACGGTTTGCCCTTTTTTCTCAGAGAGAAGAGAAAGGGAAAGTCAGATAATGTATGATTCAGACAGAGAGGTATAGGGAGAAAGCTACAGCTTAGCTAGCGCGGGTAGGATTCTCCCAAATAACATTATATACAAATATATTTCCTGGATAAATTCATGGCGGGTATTTTGGAAAATATATTATAGTAGTATTTTTGTATAAATATTTAACTACTTGCTGTAATGTTGATCAACCTCAATCTTAGAGCGAAGGAGGATCCTGAAAATGATCGGCTTACATTGTTATTTTAGCTCACTTATCATATTATTGTTCTACTTTAAGGCCCTGTCACACAGAGAGGACGCATGGGGGACGCACGGCCAGCGCATTGGAAATTTGGAATTTTGGCCAGTGCGTTGTCGTTCGCTATAGGTGTTCGTCATCATTCGTTACTCGTTGGACCAACGCTATGCACTCGTCGTCATTCGCTGTGTGCGTCGGGATGTTTTGAGCATGCTCAAAAGTGTGCGCGGAGCTCGACGCATGAATGCACACGCCAAAGGGACGCCAGACATGCGCGGAGCGCGCTAGACCAACGTCAGACATACGTGGAGCAAACGCCCTGTATACGAGCAGCGCGCTATCAACACGCTATGCATTCGGTGTCAGCTCGCTAGCTTCTCCCAAATCCTGACAAAAGTCAGAATCACGATTTTCTTCGATTCTCAATGCGCCGGCCGTGCGTCCCCTATGTGTGACCGGGCCTTTATAGGTCAGAAGATCATTTCTTCCCCATCTCTATCTCTCTCTCTCTTCATCTCACTCTCTCTTTCTCTCCCTCTCACCCTCTCTTTCTCTACCTCTCAATCTATCTTTCTCTCACTCTCTCTCTCTATTTCTCTCTCTCTTTCTCTCTGTTACGACTACCTTTCTCTGCACCTCTCTTTGTATCTGTCAAAGACCCAGTCTTTATTCTTCTCATTCACAACATAGATACGCATCAAAAGAAAAGAAAAAGTTAAAGAAAGCATGCATCATTAAACTTTTGTTTGTATAACTCTCTAACCTGATAGGAAATACAAACATATCTAAATTGCCAGGATGACATACCGAATGAAATAATATGACAGCAATACAAAACTAGGCCTATGTATTTCATTTAACACAATTTCGCCTTTAATAAAATAATAAGCATTAATCCTTGAATATTGATTTGGTCAATGGCCAAATTTACAGAAAACGACATTAGTTTGATAATTTACATTAAACAGAACAAACAGGTTTCATGTCCACTCAGTAATTTTTTGTTAGTTGTATTTACAGGCACAATCTTATTCTCTTTCAAAGCCCACTTAAATGCACAAACTAAACTTTTCCATTGACTATAGCATGACTAACATAACATGAAAAGCAGAAAGAAAATGACGTTACAATGACGTATTGTGTTAATATATAAACGTGACTTCTACACGATATACAATGACGTATTGAATTGCCATTTTTCGAAAGTCTTTGCAATCTTATTTTGTATGAATATCAATCTAGCGGAAGCCTTGAAAACTAAATTCATGAAACTATATATAAATAGTCCATTAAAGACAAAGGGCCTTTAATAAATGACTTTAGGAATACAGGAATTAATATGAAGATAGCACAGTACACAATCATTGCTAAATTTTGTTCATGAATATTCAATTATACATTTAAGTCCCGACCAATAAAAACAATCTGAGACGATCCATATTTTTATTAAAATATTATCAAACTGTACTCTAGTAAGCGTTCGTCTGTATGTAGGTGTACAAGAACGTCTTTAGCAACAAACAAAATAAGAAATGATTATATACAGATGCTACAGGACGCCATTATTCAACATTAGTTGACCTTTCTTTAATATAACACAACATTACACAATTAACACGATCGCAAGTTCATAAGTTAATCTCCATAGCCTGGTCTACATGGTCTGTCTCCTTTTAAACTGTACGAACATTACGATGACATAATCCGAATAGGATGTCAATGGGCAATACACTTAAGGTATTGAAACTGACCTCGAGTTGATTTTTCGAAAGTCTTTGCGATCGTGTTAATAGGTCAAAACCACGATGTACATCAAACAAATTCTCCTTTTAAGATACAATAAATTTACTAAAATTCATTATGCCGATGTTATGTTAACATGCAGATACATATAATGTCTTTATCTTTCTTATGGATTTTTGTTGTCCACTGTGCACTACAAAGAGCCATTGCAATATAAAAAATAAAAATAAATTATTATTACAACTAGTATCATACTTGTAATTACTACTACTGCTACTACTACTACTACTACTGATACTACTACTTATACTACACCTACTACATTATCTTACTATTTTATTTATTCATTAATGTTACTATTATTATTATCATTATCGTTATTCCTACAACAAAAATATATACAATGCTCCCTTGGAGTAAAGATTAGCGGCCATACCTAGACCAACATCACGTGGGCCTCTTCCCCTCTTTGAAAAGTACAATACATAAACATCAAACCTTAGCAACTATTGATCATATAAATAAATTGCTACCTGGCAGCTGAAAGAAGAAAAACAACAATTCATAACATTTAAATATAAATACACACTTCTGCTATGCGCCAGACCCTTACGAAAAAGGAAACTGTTAATGTGTTAACGAATAATTTTGATCTGTTATAAGGCAATCCAATTAAAGACAAACGGTGTAATTCGTTGTTGTTGTTGTTGTGGTTGATGTTTCTGATGTCGTTGTTGCTGTTAAATTTTGCGGCTATAGTTGCTGTTGTTAGTGTTGTATCTGGGGGGGGGGGGGTGATGTCGTCTACTCGTGCATAATCAACTGCTGATATATGTTTTATATTCTCTGACCTAATATTTGATTCCGGAGTTGGAAGGATTTGTATAATATAATTGAACAAAAACAATTTCTAAACGAATGAAACCAATACGAAATCGATATACCTAATTTTCATCTTTCATATTCTCTCTCATGCTTTTAGATTTAAATTTGAACTTAATATGATTTCTACTATATTACATTTAAACACATATTTCTCCTTTTTTCTCGTTGAATGAAACTGATATTACCTGTTGTTTTCATTAGACCGTGTGATGACCGTTCTTGACGTTTAAAGACGATTGCCATCTAATCATTTTGTTCATATTCTACTGTCAGATATAAGGGTATAGTCTGATTATAAATGCCTCTTCATACAGATCATAAAGCAGCGCGGGTTAATCGACACTTTACCATTTCTGTTGTTTGA